GAGAAAAAGAAGGGGACCCTAACATGCAGGAGGTCAACCAAGCTGCGGCGGTGGAAAACAAAGAGGATACAGTAGATGTGCTATCTTATGAAACGTATTTCCGATTAGAAAAGATTACGTAGAGAGATTTTTAATCATAAATATCGTACTTCAATCACGCCGGGATGCCAGCTTTGGATCAAGCTTAGTTCCGGCAGGCTTCAAAAACCACACTCCAAAACCGCTACTTACGTAATACGCAAGTTATTCATTCATGTTCAATGTCCTTATAAATTAAACCACAATTTTTAGAAATGGTGTGCAAAAATATCCTTTCTAGTAGTTGTTTGGTCGAAAACTAGGTCTGCTGCAATTTTTGATTTTAAACAAGTTTCAAATTATGAGATTTTTAAGTTTCTGAAATGTCCACCATAAAGCATCTGTTTCCGTTTGTTTAACTACTTTGGAAATTTCTCACTTCTACCTCCTGTGAAACTCTATTTGACCTACTTGCAAATTGCTCCCTATGCTTTTTGCTGTTTCTGCCTTGCCCAGCTGAACTGGGCTTCTTTTTTGGGCCAAATCTTGACTTTGACCTTGAAGCTGAGGGTCAGACTCTTTACTAAAATGTGTCCTAGTACACGCGTGTGTTCCACTTGCGAACACGCACTTTCCTTGCTGTCTACAGTCAGACGTTAGCCGACTTCTTTGCCTTTCGCTTCGGGTATCTACCGCTCAGGCAGATATCCGGTTTATTCTTTATTTAACATTATCGTAAGAAACCAAACTGTGGTTTGCATTTAGAGCTGACGCACGCGTTATTCTGGGATAACAAATCGTCTAAAACAGCATCGTTTCTGCCCATTTATGTATCTTGCTTCTAAAGCATACTATATGGTCCACGTTCAATTTATACGAACCCTATAGTACTCCGTCAACTTACCGTACATAAATGCAAGACCTTCCGTACACGGAAAGTATACATGCTGAAGTTTGGAAAACCCGACCGCTAGTGTCATGCAGGTTAAGTTCAAAATTATTCAGAAATGTAGAAAGTGCGGTAAAACCGAAAGAACCCTTTATATCGAGTAAAAATAAATTAGGGTTCAGAGGGGCATTGAAAATTCAAAAGGGAAAACGCACTCTTCATTTTTACACAGTGTGGTTTTGTGAAGGCGGTCAGGGGAAACTTATTCAAAAGTCGACATCCAGACGTGATTAAAATATCTTAGGATTGTTCCGTACGATAATAAATATAAGGCAGGCCTTTCTAATCCAAAACACATTTCAGAGTCGGGCTTGTTATTGCCTCTGAGAATGAAACTGCGACGGATCTCGAAATGTCAGGCAAATAAAACTTTTGTCCCAGCGATCACATCTATGTTTTCTCACATTTCAGAATTTCGGTTAAAATTTCATGGTATAGCAAATTTACCGTAGATGCAAAATTCTAACACATCCAATATATCCGGACAAAGCAGTTCGCATTCGAGTAAACTGAGCGTTTAACGGATGGCCCCCGGAGAATTTGCTAAGCAAAAATAAGTGATTAAAGGTAATTTGAAGCATCTTTTCTCAGGCACAAGTTTGAAGATTGCGTAAGTAGCAAAATTTAATGGAACCATTAATTTCGCGAGCGCTCATCAGCTTTTACCACTCGCTGCATAAACAGTAACGAATGAGAAATTACAGAATTGAATTCATACAGGAAAATCGATACAAACACATCAAGGTCACTAGAATTGGCCAAGGGGCAATCAATAAAGTAGGAAATTCAAACACTGTGGGCAGCAAAAAACGGTGTAAAAACGTCTAAGGCAAAAAAGGTGGGAAGGGGGATGTGTAAACAGTGAGCCTGTGCTACCATGGCAGAGTTAGATTTACCACATGCTCCAGTTGTTTACATAGGTCAGGTTTAAACCGCCGTATGTATGCTGCCTCCAGGTAGCGTAAGATACGAGTTGTCCGTGTT